TAATTTTAGTGGTCAACAAGTTTCTGCCAGACCTTATTCCGCGATACAGTGGAATACTATGCTAGAAGGCCGGTAGTACAAATTTATTTGTGTAACTGGTCATGCATTGCATAAATTAGGTACACATCACAGCTATTTTTACGTTTTTGTCATTAAAACAAAATAAAAGCACATGTTATATAAAATTTCAAAAATGCACATGCACATCAATTTTGGAGTACAAATTTGACCAGAAAATGTTTTTTAAAGGGCGATGATCGTCGTGTCGTGTGGGACTCATGGCGACATATACAACACGTGTAAAATACATCGTTTGTTTACATGAAATTCAAATACTCTCTGAGCAATGACAACCGCCCATTAATAAAGGAATAAAAAATACAGGTCATAACCACTTGATGGTGTTATTGTCTCTAATATTAGTTCGTAGAAAAACTTCATTTTATTTTTCTCTCTCTAGTCTTCTGTGCCTACCATCGCACAATACTGTGGAATACTTTTTTCGCTTGGAATTTATTTCGCTGAAGGGATGATTCTGTGAAAATAAAATCCAGCGAATATATTTTTTTTCCTATATTTCACATTAAACTCATCAAAAATCAGCAAAAATAAATTCCATACAAAATGCCCAAAAAGCCTTTTCAGCGAAAATTAATTCCAGCGAGAAAATAAAGTATTCCACAGTATTTTTTCGTCAATGTTTTGCCCTTGAATCCACACCCTGTAAGCCCAACTGCAATAATATCTTGTCGTTAATAATTTGAAATATATTTATAATAAAACCATACTAACGATAAGGTCTCATTGTTTTGTAACTATTTACAGTATTTTAATAATAAATAAATAAATAATAAATACTATTCATCAATAATATTTAGGTCACTAAGTATTGTTATTGAGTATTTGGGTTGAATTAGAAACACTAAGGATAGGGCAGATTTTGAGAATATTTGGGGTAAAAATCATACTGCGAAAATGACGAGAAAAATATGGATACTTTTAATAGGAGAAAGGATCTAATAAATTTACAGTAACATCATTCTGCTCAAAACTATTTTTAAAATGTAAGCCCGAATTAATCATCGACTTTAACCTGTGACTCAACAATACCCTATTGGACTATTACAAGAACACCTCCATTTTAAACCAAAAATTGCATATATTGCATACTGGATCATTAGAATATGACTTATTTCAGGCATAACTACAGTGAATTTCATGAAGGCATGCATGTTTTTTTATGAAAGTTTATAAAATATTTATAAAACACTCACCCTGGAATTTGCTTTCATTGGTTATAGTGGCCATTTAGTTTCGTCCATTACCTTATCAGGTTACTTTCAATCATTGGCCGATTTACTATGTTGCGATTGGTCAAGTTGTTTTCAACCGTCATGTAAGATTAATAAAACATTTATAAATATTTTATATAAAAACACATTCATGTGTTAAGGAAATTCACTGTATACTATAGCTACAGTAAAACATGTTTAAATAGCTACATGGCATTTTAGCAAATTTGAATCTTAATTTAGCTAAAGTGCAAACAATCTCATTGTGAGAATATACTTTCTTTTAAATTAGTGACATCTTGAATTAGCAAAATAACAGATTAGCTAAATTAGCTAAAATAACATGCTAGCTAAAATGACATGTTTTTCAGTATATTCAACATATTCACGAGATCATGAAATTCACTATATGCGACCGGTATATTCGATCCTGACTTATTTTGACTATACATGTATATGTCATTCTCTGTCATTCATTTAAACTACTAATAGAGTGAAGACAATATGAGTCATCAAATTTGTAATGTGTGAGTCAAGTGGTTGCTGGTATCACCTGATACATGAAAACAATGAATTATGTCACCTGATTCACTATCCTTGCACTAGCAATGAATTATGTGTTTTTCAGTAGCTTTTAGGGGGGGGTAGTCGTCACCTGCGCATACGACGAATGGCCATAGGTTGTCACCGTTTACAAACAAGCATCTACCCATGAGCCTTTGTATACTTTTAGTAAGCACTGTTATTGCATACGACCTACCCCTCCACTTTAAAGGGTGGCAGTTATCGTACCGCGTTCTGTTCGATATGGGACTCATAGCGATACGTGTGTAAAATACATTGTTTATTTACATGAAATTCGAACATGCGCTGCGCGACAACCATCGTGCTTTAATCTGTGCTTGTTGCTGCTCCCAGGGCTTATCATTGTTGGGACGGACATACAGGCTTATTAAATACCCAGACAAATCCATGACCATTATTGTTGATCAATCACAGAAATGCTTGACACTGTGTGGTGTTACAGCAAGTAAACTACAGGTCATGTAAAAAAAATAGTGTACTTTTCTTGTGTCATGTCCTACAGATTCCACAAATGCCTAGAATCTACCCTGGTATACCTATTACAGCACCTAGAATCTACACTGTAAACTACTTGGTATACCTATTAAAGTGCCTAGAATCGAAGCAGTATACCACTCACTCTATTTATGCCTAGAATCTATTGCGTGTTTCAATTGGTATACCTATTATAGCACCTAGAATCTATACTATAAACCAGTTGGTATATACCTATTACAGCACCTAGAATCTACACTGTAAACTACTTGGTATACCTATTAAAGTGCCTAGAATCGAAGCAGTATATCACTCACTCTACTTATGCCTAGAATCTATTGCGCGTTTCAATTGGTATACCTATTATAGCACCTAGAATCTATACTATAAACCAGTTGGTATATACCTATTACAGTGCCTAGAGAATCTATGAAGTATACCACTCGCATCAAATGTCATCAGTGTGAACACCGATATTACAGTGAAGGGCATAAAGCTGTGGTTGTTATAAATGTTTTATAGATATACATTTTTAAAAATCAAAGTGGATTTTAGATTTCAAATTCACCAATCCAGAAATTGTATTGTGACATCATTAATTAGTTCTAATGAAATCATTCGACATTATCCAATCAAGAAGCATCACTCATTTTGAATATGTGTGCGGTCGCACTTGTTATGTCACATGAAATCATGGTCATAGACAATCATGAGTCCATCAACCAATCATTATCAAACATTTTGATTTGAATGAAAGCTGTTGATCTGTACAAATTTTTATATATATGGTTAGAGCACAGCTTTGCGCCCTTCACTGTAGTGACAACTCATTCCCTTTGTTTTTATAAATTTCACAGTACAAATGAAGCAAAGCAAAAAAAATGGTTTCTATTGGGCAATGTGATATCATTGGAACATTTTCAAATGACATCATTGAATATTTTGCTTTTTGATTGGCCATGTTAGATTCAACTGCCATACATGGTATTTTGAATTTCATGATGACGTGATTTTTTTTTTAATTTATAGCTAATTCAGTTACATTGTATGTAAATACAATATAATTAGAATAATTCGGCTTGGATTATTGGTTTGGGGGATTAGTAGTTGACATGTTTTTATCCACATTGTATCTTTGAAAGCATGTCTTCCCAACGTCTAGGTTACTGGACTCCTTGGACTCCAACCAAAATTGAAAATTAAGATTTTCCAAAGGTGATGGAGCTAACAAAATTGTAAATACAGAATGCCACAAAAGAACACCAAATAAAATAATGGCAAACATGACAAGTTTCAGAAAAACAATTTCCTCACCCATATTATGGATGACCTCTTAAAACCATCGCAAAATAATGTCGCCATGACCTTATGTCATGGGTAGGATTGCTTTCTCTAATGCAAGAAAACAAATGATCATCGACTATATATTACGGCATAAAAGTACATGTAGCCAGTTAGATGACTAAAACAAGTATTGTTTATCTTTTGTATACATTTTATTTATATATAAATAAATAAATAAATAAATAAATACAGTAGTGATTGCCCGCAGTGATTGGTTTCACTATTTTGACTGGACACGTACCAGATTTTGTTTTAGTAAATTTTAAACAAGACACAAAGAACACCGAATAAGCAACAAAACAAAGAAATGTGTGGGAATTTTTTGATAAGGAATTCTCACGCCACTGGAAACAAATGTATCATTTGAAATAAAAACAGGAAATGGAAGTGAAACCAAGTTTCAAAATAAAATGAAAGCCGTTTTGCTACAAAGTATAATTTCCCTTCACCGTAAATAAGCAACGTTGTACTACAAGTTGCCGGCATTGGATCTTTCTCATTGATTTAACGTACGCGCGTTGTGGAGTCAGAGACCTACAAACTGGCAGTTCGTAGAAATAGCACCACGGCAGGTAACTGTCTCTTTCCGCGAAACGAAAATGCACAGGCTCCCCCATCCGTCACGCGTGACCGATTGCCAAGCTTAATGAGAAGTCCTGATCGGGCCAGTCTGCGCTGTCCAAAAGCCCCACAGTCTGGTACATCAAACTAGACAGGGAAAACGCGCGGAGTTTACACGATTTTCGCGAAACCAGACGAGTGGTCCTTGGAAAACAGTCGTATTTGGCTTTCAGATCCATTGAAACTGCGTATAAAAGCCAAGTGCCGACCCCTGGTATCAGTGCTTTGATCCAGTTCTTTTAACCTTTTCAATTTCATAATGGATATTTCCGTCCACCCCTGGCCTAGTTACGCACGAGTAACCAGCATCACTAAGCTAAAATCGCCTGTCTTCAGCTCCAAATTTCGAGTGGAGAAATTAATTTAGATGAAATCAGTCACATTCCGAACGGTTTCGGTCAAGTCTCGCATTACCCAAACCATGGCGGTGTGTAAAGGGGTAAATTCATTCCACACAAGATTTCAAATAACTAAGTATAATATCGAAACATTGACAAGCCTACTGCTCGATAACATTTTAGAGTATAGGAAACGTAGCGAGGCCGTTGCACAATGAGCCCTTTGTGTGAAGGGGTTCTCGCATGTCGAGCTACCACAGACTTATTTACGTCAACAGGCGTAGCGTAGTGTAGCTTAGTTACATAATAGAGAGGAAGCACACACAAACAGAAAAGAAACATAATGTAATTTTTTAAAACACAACTGTTTAAACTTTTATTTAAATATAAAAAACTTACAAAATATGCACAATTTGTTTTTGCAGGAATCGACACGCGAATAATGGAACGCATATCAACTCGAGCATTGCAGTTTTTAATAGAACAATAAAATAGACACTCCGCGGTGCAAATACTTTTAAAATTTCTAAAGCATCTCTCCTGCGCCGCAGAGAATTTGTATTGCGATAAAAGAATTATACAAATAGAAATTAATATACTCTGAACAATTTAATATTAACAAAAAAGTACGACTTGCATATTGCTAGCAGCGTCTCCCCTCTTCCGTGTAACGCATCCCACGGTCCGAATAGATAGTTAAATTTAGGGAGTAAACTTCGAATGTTTTGCGTTTAACACGTGAAAAGTATGAAACCGTCAGCAAGAGTGCAGTCACTACATTTGAACAAATTTTTAAACATAAATAAATTTGGCACCGACTTTCAGCAGGCATTGTCCGGTGCTCAGTAAATTTGTTAATGAATAGATCCTACATAAACAGCTACGTGTTATGTCATAACAGCAGGTATTTCGTAAACTAGTACCATGCATAAAAATAATCGCTGCGTTTTCAACAACGCATTTCCTGACGATTCTAAAAATAACAGTCTAAAATAGAGTATCTTTTCATCAAAAAAGTTTTCTCTTTGAGAACCACCTGTGAAAAGTTGTATTGCCATGAATTCTGTAAACATTTAAAATAATATTTTTCTTCGAGTTGACAATTATAAAATCCCACCTTTTATGTAATTTCAAAAAATTGAATATAAATTACAACTAATTTTCTACGAAAACTTCATTTTTTTTGAAAACTTTGTTCGCAAATGCGCATTTTTACAAACATAGAAAAACTTCAGCACGCACCCAAAATGGCTACCGTACTCAATCAATATTCGGGAAATTTTTCAAACTCGTAAATTTTTAACATGATATAAAAAAAATGAGGAAAACACAAATGCTATATATAAATCTGTCAATGGGCGGGCAGGTCGTCCCATAGAATGCAGCAGGGGCCGTCCGTGTCTTTACCCGAACCCCCACCGGCACATCAAAATGGACTGAATACAACAAATTAATACATAGCGGTAAAAAAGTCAACCAATAGTGGCAGTGATAACAACGGTAAATATTCTAGTCAACTAGAAAACATCCTAGCCCCTTTTCAATCAAAAACTTAACTATTGAAAATTAAGTACCTGAATTAGCAGTTGCATCAAAACAAATCTTGTTCTACAATATCGAGTTCATGGATGAATCCACGCATTTCATAAATTCGCGTGGTCAGTTCATTTTTTATATATATTATATAAATTGTGGCACCATTGTATTGTTGTACTGTGAGAAATTATTAAACCGAGGTTTTCTTTGTTGCAAATACGGAGTTTCAATCAAGTTATGTTGGCTGTGGCAGTTATACGGTCGTGTGAATAATATAAAACTCGTACAAGTCTATTTGGCATGTCCATTTCTAGATCGACCTCTTCTTTCCCGTGGACGTTCTTGTAGCTTTCAACATTTTCATACTTGGCTGTTCGTCGTTCTTGTTTCCGTGTGGGCAATATTTGATGGTATGGGCTTCATCGCCGTTGGCTCCGCATATTGGACATGTGTATCTTCTTAGCACTGGGCACGTAACTTTACCTTCAGAGTCCTTCAACGCGTGGTCTGCGTACACAGACTCGCTCTCCCCATTGTTTCTGCAGAATACGCATACTTGCTGGGCTTTCTTACGGCTCTGCTTTCCGCGGCGGTTGATCGCTAGGCTGTTTCTACCACTGCAGAGATCCAGCGGACTGTGGAGACGATTTACTTCGAAGTCGGAAAACCCATAAGGTGGCGTGTAGTCAAAGTCAGTTCCATTCATTAAGAAATCCAACGGGCTTAAATTGCGAGCGACGGGGAAATCACTGAAATTGTATGACGAGCAACAGTCTATGTCACGGTCGGTACCATTTAATGAGAAGTCGCTTGCGGAGCTTGAAGAGCTGCTCCCCATGCTGTCAAACCGGCCTCGTGGAACGGGAGGAAAAAAGAATTTATCCACATCAAAATCTTCGGGTGACGATAGATGCTGGGAATTTTGCAGCTCTCTAATATTCCCAACCAAGTTCGCAAGCCCAAGATAATCCTTCAACGGTTGAAACTGTGAACGCATCATCGTAATTTCGTCAGACAGGTAGCAAACGTCCACGCTCAAACACAGACCAGGCAGGAATAACAGCTATTCAGCATGGACCCCAACAAAAACATGCTCAATAATTATGCTAATAAGAGGCGTGGCTTACACAGCTGCGGCTAACGTCATTGGATTTGTTATAGACTAGACTTTACGTCGCCAGGATTTTAAAGTCCCTCGCGTTTAGCCAATCAAAATGCGTCCTTATTTTTTTTTTACATTGTTTGATTTCGCCACTCTGACATTCTTCAAGTTTGAAACTTTCAGCTGCAAGGAAAGGTGCACCTAAAACGTAATAATATGGGAAATGTGCACGATTTGTAAATAATACGAAATTTACCGCTCTTTTTATTTATTGTTTATCTGTTCAGTCGTTCTCTTTGTGTTCATTCATCATCCAATCATGACCGTGGTCCCAATAATAGTTTTCGCATCAAAAAAACAAAAATACGAGCGTGGGAATAGGATTTCACTAGGAAATAAAATTTACTAACAATTTAGCGCCGTTTTACTGGCGTCACGAATTTGGGAAGCCGACCGATAAACGAACACCCCGTCCACAACATGGATTATCGGTTCATTACCTCATGAAACTATAAACCATTACCTCAACTGTTTTATTGTCAATTATAATTAAAAATAAACAACAGTGTGCAATTAACACGTCGTATTTTTCAGTTTATTTGCGTAGTTTATCAGATTAATTCTTCAGTCTACAGACTTCAAAGCCCCCCCCCCGTAGATGGCGCCAAACTTAGTCCGTCTGCTAGTATTCATGGTCCTTTTTTTACTTCCAAGGTTTATTCTAGAAGATCTGAATCCCAAAGTATTCAGAGTGATAATTAATTTGAACCAAGTTACCATGGTAACGATTGTTGCATGTAATTTGTGGTGCCATTGATAACATCCGCTAGCCCTTGTCCCATGACGTTATAAGTTAGGCGTATGTGGAGATATCGCCAACGTCCACGACCCATTGTGACTCGCTAAAATTATGGGATATTTATTTTCAGCAAAAACGATTTCATTAATATTTATTATTACTACCCTCATATCACGCTACCCCATTGTTGGGCAGTGAATTTTATTATTTGTGTGTGTATTCATTCCACACATGAGTTTATAACTAACTACGTTGAGGGCGCACTGTGGCACGTGTTCCTCTGTCACAAGCACGTTGATCTTAAAGGGCCACCTTCCAGTTAAGCTTAATTTCACAACAAATTTACTTTCTGGATTAAAATAACAATGGATAACAAAAGATAGATTAACATTGTAAACAACATAAACAATAGTGTCCCATGATTCTTTGGTGCAATCCATGGGATTGAGCGGTTCCCCTTTAAACTTAAAAACACGTTTGTTTTTTTAAATCATCTGCACTGACCTAATTAAAAGTGCAAAATTCTACCTGCTCTGAATATAACAAATTCCTTTCCGTCATTCCTGCTCCATGCAAGGTCCCTGTGATGGTGTTTATTCCATATATTAGTCTTTTATTGTACTAAAGTTATCATCCGTCTTTAGTTTTTCATGGTTGTTTTCCGGGTATACGGAAAAAAAGTCACAATTAATTTATTTAAAAAATGCCTGCTTTAGTATATCCTGGTGCACCGTCCCTCGACATGGGGCAGTGCCTGTATAACACTGAACACAGTGAAATATTGAGTACAGTACGAAGAAAAGAATGGATGTTGAGTACAATTACGAACTCCAAAACAAGACCTGGCGGAGCACTTCCTGTATTGCTATTTGATGATGGTGTAGGGATACAACATGTTTATTATATAAACATGGAAATTAATACAAGCGTTTCACAGTTTTATTGAATTATTTTGTTCATGCGCCATTTAATGTATGATATGGTGATATGTTTGGGAGATTGAATTGCACATGCGCAATGCTCTAAAACAAACAATGGTCGGCAGTGACTTCAATATCCGGAAATTATGCATTACAAATATTTGACAAAAAAAATATGTGAAACTTTTTTCCTTTTCTCTCTGAATTTTTTGTTCTTACATTCGTTTTTACTATCACCCTGGATGGCTGTCAAAGTTTTTTTTATATAAGGCAGAATTAAAAACGTCGAAAAATACAACTTGAAGTTGCTCTCTGATTGGTTCATATACCTTAGAAAGGTCTCTGATTGGTCCATAGGACCTTAGAAAGGTCTCTGATTGGTTCATAGACCTTAGAAAGGTCTATGATTGGTTCATAGACCTATGATTGTTTTTTTTTTTTTTTTTTTTTTTTTTTTTTTTTTTTAAAGCGGGGAAGTTGTCACCTGCGCATGCGTCAGATGGCCATAGCGTGTCATTATTTAGAAACAAGCGTCTACTCATGAGCCTCTGCGTTTTTAGCGTGTGCTGTTATCGTCGCTTGGGACTCAATTCCCGCGCGTGCGCAGGTGACTACCCTCCAGCTTTAATATTCACTGTAGCGATTATGTTCTCAAACATTCGAAATGTTGTCGCCGCTGTACTAACCACTGTTTTTCTGAACAAATTTCGAATGGTCAGTCCCCAACTCGGAACGCTATGAATTATTAAGATTGCCTTTTCACTTATAATTTATTTTCGCTATTATAGGGTAAAACGGTAAAAATAAAACCCAGTGAAACTACTTACCCCACTTGAAGTATTCTGCAGTATGAACAATAAAAAGAAATTAGTTACTGTTAGCGTAACAAAGGCATTCATTATTTTGAGAAATGATATCCCAAGAGATGAACGTCTTTGCCCACTTTGTGAAAACGTAGAAATTGTAGATGAATTACACTTTTTGTTGATTTGTCCCTTCTTTGGTGAATTTAGGAAAACATACATCCCTAGATATTACTTAACCCGCCCTCATATGAGAAGTTTTTAACCTTGTTATTGTCTGAAGACAGAAATGAATTGAAATCTATTTTTTTCATTCGTTATGAAATTTATAAACACAGTGTGTGACATTACTGTTTTTGTTACTTTATATTTTATTCATAGTTTATGTATTTTGGGCCACAGGCCTTTGATTGCAATAAAGGCCTTATATATATGTAACAACGGCGTTCCTTTATTTTTATAAATATTTAAATATTTCAATGACTGGACAGTCAAGTAAAACCAGTTATACTATCAACGAGCATAAGTGAGCGACGGCGTCATTTAATAACGTTCCAAAATTATTCAACGACCAAGAGAACTCTCTCGTTTGAATTGTGTTTATAAATATTTTTAAAATTGAAATAAATGTCCTTATTGCACCGAGAGTATTCACCAATGTCGCAAACATTTAAATAAATTGACATAGGAGTGTTTTTTTTCAGATCTTAAAAAAGTTCACTGTGGGGGGCTATTCAGGAAAACACAGTCTTGAGTTACTAAATCAGTTACGTAATTGTAATCAGACGGAGTGCACATGAAACCATGGTATGTCAAGTACATCAATGGCCCAGTGAATTGGAAAAGAAGGACCATTGGACGGAAGAATCTTTTATGAACGAGAAGCCCACCGGGGAAGCCCATAGAATTATTGACTAGAGTTTGTGGGACGAATGATCTAACGCACGTACTGTTTACAACAAATGGTGTGTAATAATAATAATCTTCATTCATCTCGTATCCTCCCTGAAATGTTGATAACATATAGTCAATGATTTTTCATTTCCTAACTGTCGATTCCTTATAGTGCTGATTTACCCATGCTTAATTGAATTTTAATAGTGGTGTTTTTATTCGTTTCTGGAATTTGTGCTAAGATCTTGAAACGCACGATTCCTTCAATAACTGGACTTATTTGCGTTTCAGAAATCAGACCAATATTCAAGCTGGAATGTCTATAAAGTCGATAAAACTCGCAACTCTACTACACCGTGGCCGTACTGTAGAACTATGACTACACGGATAAAGGTACATTATGCAAGAAAGAAGTACATGTAGTATTATGTGACTTTTTTTACTGTGACTTTGTTTGCTTACTTTTTTCCTGTGGCTGTTTAACGCACACATAACAAAATCACCAGTCTTGGCACCAGTAGACCAATGTCGCCACGTAGCAGAGTTTAGCCCCAGATCTGATTTCAGTATACAGAGATGTAGAATAAGATATAATTATTGATAGTTACGTGTGTTATTATTATGTTCGCATTTAAGTTAGTTTTAATACGAAAGATGTAGATGTATATGAGTTTATATTGAAATAAATGGTTGATATTTTGAAATAAAGAAATTGCACCCATGGTACTGTGGTGACAGTGTTGAATCCACAGTGTCACAGTGAAGGTGATACTTGCGACTGACGGCGCATTTAAGTTAAAATTTTGTGTAAACAAACAATGTATTTTACGTCACTATGAGTCCCATATCGAACAAGACGCGGCGTGACGACCACCGCTCTTTAACCTACTGGCAACTTGAACATTCAACAACTAGCTATTATTTGCAAGGACGCTATCTCAGCTTCCAAGTCGTGGTTATTAGTTTACACATGCTTGCATACGCGGTTTTTGTGGCGTTTTAAATGATTACCCAATTTAATTATTATTATTATATTGCAGGTGATATAAAGGAGTTGGCCGTAAAGTGTGATACCGGAAAACATGGAGTGTCGAAATTTCCACTTGAGTCGGAAGTTTAAAACTTTAAAACACCTACGCGCTTTATTGTCGTCTTATATGTCCAATCAACGTGACTGCACGATTGTGAAAATTAGGGTAAGGATTAAACTATTTGAAATCATCGGATGGATGGGGTGAGATGTGTGACGAGTGATTTTTTTTTTCGCCGTGTCTTTTCTGTACATTTTTATTTTCTTTGATTGTGCCAACTTATTCTCCCCGCAACCCCTTGAATACACCCCCCCCTTGGTGTTTGGTTTGCTAATTCCTGTTTCAACAGCCACCCGTTTAGCCACCCACCATAGTTTCAGATGATTGACCCCCCGAGGGCCTAAATAGAGAATGCGTGTGGAATTTCCAACCACAAATGGCTTCGGTATTTCCGATGGGGCATTTTATTATCATAATGGGCTTTGACATTTAGTTATCATAATTATCGCCAAATATAACAACATTAGGCTTAATACATTACCGTTCGTCACTGAACTACTAGTACCTAGGACCATTCTAAAATAGACTTTTGAGAAGGATAGGTAACCTTGGCATTTGCTGTAGAATTATTTATGATAATTAAGTACTTTATTGGTGTTAATGACTTATTTCCCCTTTAGTAAAAATGGACAAAACATATCAACAAATGGTCAATGTACAAAATATCCCAAGGATCTTGTATGACTTGTAATTCTTGTACACAGATTATTGATCAACTAATCACATGATGTACGATATGAAAGGCGACTTGTTTATGGAAAGGTACACAAAATGGGCGATTTTGCGAACATTCACAAATCATCATAAATGTCCCCATCCCACAAGAATTGTGATACTAACAATTGTGACTATAACACTGAAAACGGTGCACATTGACGTTTTGGGCGCGGGTGACGATGTTGATTTCATTTAAAGGGCGGTGGTCGTCGCGTCGGATCCTATTCGATATGGGACTCATAACAACGTATGCAACGTGTATAAAAAACGTTTGTCTACATGAAATTCGAACACGCGTCGCGACGACCACCACCCTTTGACGTCGACAGAGACGCATTATAAGAAACACCACGGGACAGCCTGAGAAAGGTGTGGTGAGGGCGTAGCTACTTGCTTACTAGTAGTATATACTGATTTTGACATATTAGTAACTATGCCAGATGAACATAAGTTCCGCACTAACAAAATAATTCTCTAACTTCTGCTATAAATGACCACTCAGAAGCCATCATAACACCTGCTTTACGACTTCGCGGCTTGAAGGGCGGTGGTCACAAATTACATGAAATATCATTTTAGAAAAAAAAATAGCACTGAAGACGGAATGTACACTATGTACACTATCTACCAAGAACGTAGTTACACACAAAGTTAAACGAACATTAAATGAATCTTACATACACCCAGTAGTTCAGTCAGTTTATTCGTGATGTCGTGATACTCGTGCAGTTGTTTACACACAACGTCACAGTGCCTGAGTTGTACATGTTAAATCTGGCTCCGTCCCCCGACATAACACTCAAGAATACATTTAAAATACCCAACACGTTCGCTTTTGAAAAAAAATCGCAGACACAACGATATGTCCGTCCACCAGTGCCACACTAACTGTCGCAGCATCGCACAAGAGTCTTTGGGTCCGTCTATGGTTAAAGCCTACCCCGACTAAGTTCAGTGAAAACCGGGCGACATTTATGGTTGAAAAGAGGAGAAAGAATTTGTATTTTGCGTAACATAATTGACAAAAGATCACATTATATTTTAATGTATAGCTATTTAAATGTATCAGAATTGAAGAATACGTTCTGCTTAACCTTTTATGTTTTTATGGCCCTCCTGTGGTTGAGGTGAGTGTGAAAGCTGTCTTTTTTGTTTGTAAAGTTCTAGTGTTATTCTAGTTGTCTATTTGTTTGGATGTTAAGTTAGACTTACTTTGTGTAAATGCCAAACAACATACCCCATTTTATACACACCTTTATCTGATTAGTTGTATCGATGAGCTGAGTGGTTATAAGAATGTACCTTTTTCTACATGAAACAGGCGTAGACCCATTTTGACAGTCCGCAACACGGTGACGTCAGGTGCACGGTCTCTCTGATTGGTCGAATGTTTGCAGTTTATAAACAAACAACAAAATAAAATAGACCACACGTCTGTGGAGTGAGCAGTGGCCAGCCCTCTATTTTAAAGACAGGAGTCTTTTTCAAATATGTCGCAGTGTAAATTCTGACAATTGCCGAACAACTTAGTAGTGCATGCAAGAGTACTCATCGCTCCCCAAATCAAGCTGAAACCCTTTGTGTCAGCAAAATTGCAGGAAATAGCATTTCAGAGGGACCAGATTTCAAAATTGTTAGGAGGGAACATGCCCCAGACCCCCTAGTAAGGTCGCGCTTCCGGTGCGAAGGATAGTGAGCAGATCTCGCCCATTGCAAAATTTCGTCCCGCCGCCTCTGAAACGAGCGATTTGGTCAAAAATTGATAAAAAAACGATTCGGCGTTACAAACCAATGATTTTGTCAAAAAAACCCGCAAAACACGAATGACACGAATGAAATGTTCAGAATTTTACAACAATACCGAGATACTAAAATTAAGCCGGGTGTAGACCGGGTTAATCTGTTCACATGCGTTTTCACCTGTTTTCACTCCGGACCGAGCCCTGCGTTTGCACACGTATGAACATATCGGAATGTAGTCTATTATAAAGTTTATTGTATAACCAATCAGAGTGTATGGAGCTAGACCTTCTCGCCAACATTTTTCTGCATTTTTTTCTTATATTTTTCAAAATTTCTGGCAATGAACCTTAATTTTGTTCAAAAAATTTGGCTATTTTTTCTCTAATCTTATGAAGGAAAATGCAGACTATAAACAGGACTATTTTGTGAATTTGTGATGAAAATAAGGAACTGGTGGTGAAAAGGTTAAAATGGTGACGAAGTGGTCCTTATTCAACCGCACGTACTGAATCCCACTAATAAACTATAGATTTGTAAATTAAAAATTACTTCCTGTAACGTATAACATAGTCTAAATATTGGCCTGGATTCTTGGAATCGGCTAGAAAAGTCCGTGGTTTGGAATTTAAAAACTTAAGTAAACACAATATTTAAAAAAATATCATGACCCGCAATCGTGGATTCTCTGACCTGTGGACCGGACCGGATGACTATGAATAAAGTTATTTGCAACCGGAAGTCGTTCAATATTTATTTGGGGATGCAATACTTTAGTAGATTTCATGTGTTCCAGAAAATATAAATACGGTAGACTAAGTATCTTCACCTTTCCATTTATTTAGAATCTGGCCTCTAATAATTTTTTTTTTATTGAAATTGATCACTCTTTCAAATTCCTGAACAAAATGACATCTGCCGGGGACTATCAGTTTGGATCCCATCAAAGGGGTGAATCCGTGATTCATTGCGTGCACTTGAAATCGATATTTCCAGTACAAATCTATTGATTTTTTCGTGTTTTTTTTTCTTCACATAATGCTGTAAGAGCACTAGGCGTGGATATCGCCACGTCATTTGCGACATTCGATGAATCTGTTATAGTAAGTATATCATGTTGTGAATTGGTAATTAAAATATCGATCCAGGAGTTTGTAAATCTGCAAATTGAATTGTCCCCATAACGTAGTGGCTTGCTTTATTTTTAGACTATATCGCTGATACTTAGTTGCATCTCTCGTCAACTGTTGCAAAATGTGGTCAAATTGCCGCTGAGAACACGTGCTCATTTAGTCGCGTATTTTGAGTCGTCGGTACTTTGATCTCACTACCGTGACCCACCAGGTTACGGCATGTAACCACGAACATTCTAGAACGCTCATTAAGATTGTAAATTCAAGACAGTAGTGGCGCAAAGCGGTATGATTCCCTAACAGTAATTGCAATTTTCAAATCGTCATCCCATATATCTGAGATTGTTTATATATTATATCAGTTGTTATATTTTAATATATGCACGACATGTGACATTGAATTTCGTTGGTATAATCTAAAATATTCAGGGGGTTAGGTGGTATTATTATCACTCTCTATCAAGTAGTGAACGTAATAATTGTTATTAACTTAAGAGATAATTGTAAAAAGTAAACTAAAAAATTATGGGTATTTTCTAGAGTGCAGATAAGATCACATTTAAATCCTCCTGTCGCTTTAAACAAAACTACTATAAGTAATAAAACTCACAACCAAAGTTTCCTGAGCCCGTGTTTCAAATAAAATCCACTATTATAAAAAATGCATGTTTTTAAGTCGACAAGTATAATGTATAGTATTTTTTAAATCATGTTTTCTAAGTCCAATCAACGAGTACAGTTCTTGATTGATAAAAAGGTGTTTTAAACCCAGTTCATGAGTACAGTTTCCAAGAATACAAAAACATTTACATTTTGTTTTTACATTCACCCTTTCAATTCAATCAAAGAAGTTACTTGAAAACATGTTAATTGCAGATATAAATTAATAGTTGGGCTTGTTATATAATGTATAAATGGCTCGTGACCCTCTTTATTTTGCGATTAAAATATTTAGTCAGTTCAGTGTTAAGTCAACATTGATGAATTCGTTTCTCAGTTATGCCACGCTAACATTTTAAAAATTAATTTTAATTAGTATATCAAATTACTATTGACTTTATCATGTCATTTACTAATTTATTTTTTTCATTGATTGGCCTGGAAAATATCGCTTAAGATTGCATATATAAGTTGTGGCGGCACGTACAGTGTGGGTGCAGAGGGGGCGGACGCCCACCCGAAAAAAATGTTGGGGGGGGGGGCGTCACCGTCGCCCCCAAATCAAGCTTTAACCCTTTGTGTCAACAAAATTTGCCCCTCAAAATGTAGGAAATAGCGTTTCAGAGGGTCTAGATGTCAGATCTCATTCCCATGCAAAATTTCGTTGCGCCGCCTCTGCAACGCACGTTTTCTAAATTTAAGTTACAGTGTTTGAAAAGTTAGTATGTGTATTAGCTTTTCACAATATTATTGCCCAAGTCTCGTAGCCAACGAGAAATTATGACCGTTCAGTCGGAAGTTAAACAAAGAAATTAGAGAAAAATGCATAACAATGTTGTATATTACGCATTCAAAGGCCCCCCACTGTGTATAAGAAAGGAAGTTAGTCAAAAATCGTATTTACAAGTGATGTGCCGACACTCCTTGTCTCCCACACATTATTTATTCATAGCACTTGGGAAAACCTGAAACTTTTTGCCTCGTTTTCAAAAATCTCGCACAGAATTCTGGGTCAGAAAAGTAAAGTTCATGATGGCGGCTCTGGCACAGGAGCGTATCTTGGATTGGGAGACTAAATACAAGCAAACTGAGGGTGACCTCGAAAGACTGAAATCTCTTGCCGTCGCAGGTAATTATTTTCGAGTAGTTTAAGTGTTTAATCGTTCAAATATATCTGGTTGACGGTTATTTATATGATTTGTGAATTGTTTATCTTTACTTCCTAGTTGAACTACTTGTTCCGAGGGGATCGTCCGTGTCACTCGGGGTCGCTCAGTAATATACAAGCTTTGAATTAAAAATTCTAGCATGTTCCAACTTTATGGACGGCGATTGCTCCCTTTTACGCAATTTGCTACCAATAGCTGGATTTTCGTGTTTGGCATTTTCCGACCATGTATGCGTGTCACTGCGATAAGTTGACATATGTGTGAATACGGAAGTTACAATTATTGGAAGTACTTCCGCTTGCGCCTTGAATGTTATTGTGCTAAATCACAACGCGGATAAGACGCCGTGCACAATTCAACGAGTCTCGAATCTAAACTGACACAAATTCAAACAAGTGCTTCACATAATCCATATGGTCGTAGGCCAATTGTATGCCGTTTACACAATGAAAAAAAATTGCTGGTATAAATTTTCACAGTATAATAATTTGAGAGCATTCACAGCGCCAAATTTTCGTTACGGTACCACCTTCAATTATGTCTTAGCTTTAGTGGGTTGATACAGTATTGTAAGGCGGGAAATTCCCAAACAAATCATTACCTGATTAATGTGCGAGTACTTCAGTGGATTGGATCATGATGTTGGCACTACTGAAGTAAATCAATCAACTTATTTGGTTTGAATGAGACAGACGTCAACGAAATGAAACAGACGTCAACGAAATGAGACAGACGTCAACGAAATGAGACAGAAAAATCATAAATAATTTTCAACCTTTTCACCAACAGACTTTCTTGCGCCCAAATTTCTTCAATCTTCAATCTTCAATATTTCCAGAAATGGACCCTGATGTTGAAGCCAACAGTCAATTTTTAGATTTTACTCAAACAAATTACCTATTTTAGTCCAAAACTTCTGAAAGAAAGTGCAAACAGAACTATAAACAGAACTATTTTGTGAATTTGTGAAGAAAAGAGAGAACTAGCTGTGAAAAGGTTAAACAGCATTAACTACGTTAGGGAAAATCCATTGATGTTTGGAAAAAAATCCTTTATTTTATTTCATTACTATCAACACAACAAACCATTCTTGTAAGTATTTATAAATTTCAATGGCATTAAAATCCAATCAACGCGTGCAGTGTGCAATGACATAATTATAAAATGTTTTAATGTCTTTTCATTTGCCAATAAAAAGCTTTCAGTTTGAATTGTGAAATTTATAATTGTTTATAAAAATGAAGAGAATTTGTTGTGTTGATGGTACAGTGAATAGTTAATGCATTTAACAGTGATATTTTATGAACATAAAGAAACCAACTTTCCACTAAACCAAAAATATTAAACTTGACAGAAAAGTTTAGTCCATCCAAGCAAAAAAATTAACACTGAGAAACAACAAAGAAAATGAACACGAAAAACCTCATTCTTTTTTGGCAATGACTGCCAAGTATATGTGGTCCTCTTGATCCTACATTGGGTCATAAGGCTGCAATCAGGTTCCTCCATCCCTGTCTATCCTTGGCCACCATCTCAGTTCTACTACAGGTCATTTTTGCTTGGACAAGTCCTGTGGTGATGGTTCATCTCCATTCGGTTTTTGGGGCCGGCAAGATTGTATTTACAAAATATCTTCAGTCATATTTTCAGTAAAGGATTAATAATAATAATTAATCACATGACATACTTAGTAACATCATTTGACATAAATGCTATTCAGTATGAATGTTTTCAGGGATAAATAAACAATTTGTCAGTTTTCTCTTGCGACTTGCTTTTATAAATACACTATTGTTTTGTTTTTCAGTTATCAAAGAGTATGAGAATCTTGAACAGAAATATACAGAATGTCAAGGAGCTTATGACAAAATATATAGCGAGCATGAGATAACGAAGGCCGAGCTAAATAAACTGACTGACAGTGAGTGTTCACCTTTTATTGACAATTTAGTTTACTTTTGTGAAAAAGTACATATAGAATGAAAGGCATAATTGCTATGGCCATTATAAACTGTTTACAAATATTAATTTCTATAAATTAAAATGGTAAATTTAAATTGACCAATCCAGATATTGTATTGTGACATCATTGTTAGTTCTAATTAATATTAATGAGATAGTACAACATTATCCAATCAGCAAGTGCTACATTTTTGAATATGTGGTCAGTCGCACTTCTATGTCATGTGAAGGTATGCATACACATGTCATGTGAAGGTATGCATACACATGTCATGTGAAGGTATGCATACACATGTCATGTGAAGGTATGCATACACATGTTATGTGAAGGTATGCATACACATGTTATGTGAAGGTATGCATACACATGTTATGTGAAGGTATGCATACACATGTTATGTGAAGGTATGCATACACATGTTATGTGAAGGTATGCATACACATGTTATGTGAAGGTATGCATACACATGTTATGTGAAGGTATGCATACAC